TTAATTAATTAAAAACGCGTTTTAATACTTACTGAATTTTAATTAGTAACATGTATATAGAAAAAACAAACACAATTAATGTTCTTTTATACTTTTTTATATTTTCTAAATTTTTTTATTAATCCTTTCTTATGGACATAATTATACAATTACTTATTAATTAAGTATATTGTTTATTTATGATATTTAGGAATATAATAGAAAAAGAATATTATTGCATTGAAATTACTCTTATTATTTACACAAACAAAAGCTAGAAAACAAAATTCAATATCTGGAATCTAAGAAACTCCATATAACTTGTTATAAAAATTGATGAAGACAAGATTTCCGTTTCATAATTTTGCATGTTTTGTATAAAGATGTATGGATCGAAAAATGTTAATCATTTATCTCAAAGAAAAAAAAATGGCAAAAATAATAATTTATGTTCCGTGAATAAAAACAATTACATTATAGAAACGGTAGATTAATTTGGAAATGCATTAATTTATCGAGTTGACAGATAAATATTCTCGAGATTATTTGCATTTATGAAAATAATTGAATTACTCAACAGAGTATTTACGTCAGATTGTCATAAGCGTATGTACATCATGGGCGTGAATTTTCTTTTTATACTCGTAATATAAAGCTCGTTCTACATAGCGCGCGTTAGCACGTTACATCGCGCTATTTATGAATGTATATTCGCGGACTTATCAGGTTAGCTTGGCCCAGAGACCGTGGAGTGAAAAATACACTTGATACCGCGTCATAAAGTGCAATATCATGTAGTAGAACGCAATAAAAGTATCTGAAAGCTGTGTAAGTTGTCGTTAACGATCGGCAGCTGCAATCCGTAAAAATTTTAGACTTCTCGATACTGTAAATAAAAAGAAGAAGAAAGCATAGAGGAAAAACGCATTTTATGTCAATATGCTCGCAGATGAACGCAAACAAAATAGACAACAGGTGATACCTCTAGAATATCTTATCTCAAAATATTATATATAAAATTTATCTCTCTGACGCTGATTGAGAGTAAAAATTCGTTTTGACGTATCTCGATGAATAATTTTATTTCACTCTTTATCAGTTAGGAATTATGCACTAATTACAATTTACACAATACCGTAATTATTTTGCGAATGCTAGAATGCATAACATACAGATATATTGATGTTCCACCTCAACAAATAAATCAATACACAACTTAAAAATACGATAATTTACGATGTTTTTGCTTCTGTGATATTTTTATCGTGGGTCTGCTAGAAATCATCGGTTTTTCTTGGATGATGGTGCCATCCGAAAAATAATGGACCGTCTTGTTTGTCACTAGAAAAAAACGGTTATGCAAATCTAACCGTGATATTGTATAGTTGAAAAAATTTGGTGAATTTTTCTTTTCTTCTTTATGGCTCGCGCAGCCTAGATAAAAGAAGGCGAAAGTAGGCCGAAAGGATTTCGCGATATCGCCGCAGTCGCATATTTGTTTTAGTCGATTTTTATGTGAGGATTCGTTTGACATTTATGCTGCTGTCGGGTCGACAGTTTGCCACTTGGATTCTGGGATAAGCTTAAATATATAAAGTCTCTCAGTAAGATCGTTATTCGGAGATCAAAAATAGCTACGCATATCATTCTTCCATATGTACTAACAATAAGTTATTTTAAACATCAATCATGTAAGCTTCTGCATATCTTATTATCTTAGTTAGAGTTTAGAATATTTTCCTTCATAGACAAAGCTCTTTTTACTCGATACAAAGTCTAATGTTCTTTAAAAATATTAAATGTTTGCATACAAAAAAGAACTAGTTCGTGAAAACGTTGAAGAATCGATCTATATTCTATAATATTGATATATAGTTTAGTCGTTACTAAACAGAAATATCGGAGCAGTATTGGGTGGCTCTATGTGAGAGAAGAAAAAAAAAAGATTATTCTGAGTCACCTCCTATTTAACTCGAAGGACAATAATCATGGTGATCGCTGTATATAATGATCGTCGTGGTTCACCATGATCTACGTCGCGACTTTCACGTAGACCTCTTGTCACGTGTAAGTAAAGTCTCAGTTGCGTGCGTAAGGAGATTTCTCGGGAAAATGGGCGGCTCCGGGTATTCGCGAACTATGCAATAACAGCGTAATAATCGCGCAATTAAACATACATATATGCAATTGAACATGCTATGCCTGTACTTTCTTGCGTACAACCAGATAGACTATTTCTGTTCTGGATTGGATAAGTTTCGAATTGTACGACAGTCGCCGACGTACACCGACTTTCGAACAATTCCACCGTCAGAACTGGATCGCGCGCGCAGGAAGATGTCGTGTCTTGACAATAAAGAGCCGCGAGAGTAATCCTTTGGCAATGAATGCTCCGAGTATTAATAGGATTTTGTGCGAGGATTTCATGCATGCTTGGTACGACGCATGATTTCTCGAGAGGAGATAGGTCTGGATCAACAAAAGATTTAGATTTCAGTGGACAGATGCAGATTCTATTGTAAACATATAATAGAAAAGTAAAAGAGAGAGAGAGAGAGAGAGAAGATGCGATATAATATTTTTTATCATATATTTTTATTTTTTTTATTTTTTATAATAAATAATATATCTTTACTATATAAAAAATTGATAAATTTTTGAAGATATTATTTTTAATATAGATATAAGAAAAATTTATTTAGTAATTACTGAGCATTTTTTTTTATAATTAAGTTTCGTAAAAAATATGTGTAGTCATCTAGTGATTATGAAACGAACGCTTACCTGGGAAGAGAGAGAGAGTTACCTGGGAAGTGTAAATATAGCCGATAGTACTTAGTTCTGCGTTTATCCAGTTACCGTTCGATGTTACACTCGATAAAACTGCTTTATTTTTCCTGTTTTTTTTTCTCGATTGATAAGCAACAAAGGATGGTTTAATAGCGTACATAATGTAAAAATAATAATTTAATAAATATAGTCTGAATCTATTTCGTGTATAATATATAAAAAAAAGGAACTTGAAGAGAAAATATAATAATGCGGAAAAATATGTATCAAATCGTTGATCGAACCATGCAACAAACATAATTAATATAATAAGAATATACTTTATATATACATATAATATTATATATATTTATATCTTTTTGTTTTGATATATGCATCATGATAATATTTTATATAAATATTACATAAATAAGTATAAAACTTTTTAACGAAATTGTGCAAAAGTACCAATTATCGTAATTTTTATTGACTCTTTTACATGTTGATGGGTATAAATATCCATTTTTCTGTCCATAAAAACATTACAGTAATCTCTTAGCCTTACAAGAAAAGTATGTGGCTGTATATTTACATTAGTTCAATTACAATGTGATTACACTTAGGAATGCTATTTATCTATATTACATATGTATAGTCGCACCGATATAATAAGTCGCAAATTATCAAAAGATCAAACACCACAATGGCAGTATCATTTTAATTACAGACATACACAGACGGTTCAAAGTACGATTGGCAATCGTATATCTCACAATCATTAAATCGAAAGGCTATAGTAAAAATAAGGCAGTACGTAAATCGTAATCACAATTAATATAAACTTTATTTATAGCAAAGATTTTTGTACGACTGACGGATCTAAATTCCGTAATCTTGCCGAGCAATATTGAACGCATTCATGGCACGAAGAAAAAGCTTCATTGCGATTCCGTGCGATTCGGTCATCGAAATAACAAACTTTTCGTATCGGTTCGCTCAGAATTTTTTGCTACAGTTCAACGCAGTAAAGATAAGTACGATCAAAACCTTGTAAAAACATCGGTTTGCCTGGTCAGTTAGTAGTCTCTACTCGGACGTGTTTCGCTTTTATTTACATTAGATTTATCGTATATATAGACACGCGTCTCATATGAAAAACGCAAAATATAATTTTGCAGTATAATCGTAGTGTAACTTTTTAATCATTACTTTTTACTCATTACGTTATACCTCGGTGCTTCTGACAATAGCGACTTGTTCACCGAATTTAAACTGAAGAGTTTATTTCCCCAAACCGTTTTAAATTTGTATTAAAAAAACGGCGAGTATTTATTAGAAAGTTAATACGGGAGAAATAGACATATAATTCTCATATTTTAAAAATATATATATGAGATAGTTTATGGAGAAATAAGCTCTCTCTTGAATTGTACATCTATACATTTGTTTCTGACTACTTTCTCGAATTTATCGATGATATATCCAAATGTGAATGGAATTTTTTGGCACGATAATTGATTTATTCCGATTATTTCGATACGATGGCATATGCGGTTACATATTTACAAGATTCGGAATGCGCTGATTGGACAAAAAATCTTGTTTTCTATTTTACATGAAAAGAACATTATATTACATCATTTTTTTTACCGTAACGGTGTTGGTCAAGCGATTAAACTATCTCTTTCTCTCTCTTTCTCTCCCTTAGTTCTTTTTTTTACAAGTAAATATACAGTATTTACAGGAATTTGAAAGAAGGAGTGTAATAATATAACTGTCGATAAGACATTAGATGGATCGGATAATAAGATATAAATTATTATCATTTTGGTTATATTTAGCTTGTCGAGTCACTCTATCGATTATTTTACGGAGACAATTGCAATTATTTATCTGTAACACTTAAGATTGCTACATCGAAATGTACTTTCAGTAATATTGTAAGAAACATTATCCTAAATCAAAAATTATCAAAACTTTTTTCTAATATTTAATATTTAAAGAATTATGATTTTATTGTATAAACATAAAAAAAATAATTATGTAAAACAAATCAAATATTATAGTTGAAAGAGAGATGATACATTAATGTATCAAAGTATTATAGACGGCAAAATAAAAGGTGAAAGATGAAAAAAAGAAAAAACAAAAGCAAAAATATGTAAACCATATAACTTTATTAAGATAAAAAGTTAATAAAAAAGAATATGCAAACGATATTGTGCGGTAAAAGGTGAAATATGCAGTTTTGCAACATTTATGAGATTACAAAGATATAATAAATCGTACGTACAGAGAATATAAATCGTTAATTCGTTCAAATATAATCCAGTAGAGATTGCTAATTATAGGTGATTGATTTATGGAATTATAAAAGTGCGACGCGAGGTATGGCAGACTATAATATTGCGTTTTTAAAATAAAATTGATCTTAAATTGAATTTTGTATCCGAAGGACGGTTGCAGCATAGATTTCTCGCAATTAAATTAAATATTAAACACTTAACCAGAAATTACTGGCTCGATCTTACGGTAAAATTTGACGCCTTATGAATCTAAGCAACTGATATTTTAACGATCGTATGATACGAAACGGAGAAGCATGATGATCAACATACTTATCCGTTACTTGAATAAATTTAAGGTGGAAAATTGAAAATCTCGCGAAGAGAAATAAAACGAGTTAACTTACGCGTTAACTAACTTTTTTTTTTTAACGCGCTTAACGTATTATACAATATACTTTTCAATCGAACCTGGTTTTAATTTGTGTTACGTGATCCGTATATTCTTTGGCGAGATTGCCTTCTCGATGAGGATATCGGATCAGGTTAACAAATCAAATTAATAGAACGATGCACGAACCGGGGGAATGTCGGGTTTAGCAAATTGTTTCGACGATTTTGTATTAGACGTAATCTAGACGTATCTGTGCTCATCGCGCACTTATGAATAAAATATAGAAATCATGACATACACTTTGCGTACACGTATGTGTTACGTATATTAAAACATATTTTTCTAAAACAGTCATTCTTATTTTACTAGGAAATATGTGATATTTTTTTTCTATATTTTAATCTCGATAAAATAGATCATTACAGATCTTGTATATACATACAACTGTCGCGCGCATATGTAAGCATTCGCCGCTCATGCCATCATCGTAGAACACATGAGAGAGACAGATAGGGGGACAACATTAAAAACAACTATCTATGAAAAGAGCATTATTCGTCTTAAATAGCACAGCCGCTTTGCTAAACCCGCGTTTTCACATTCAATGGCTCGTGAGAAATTACAATCGTCGGTTAACTTAATTCCTTTATACGGCGAAACGAAGTATGACTAATTAACATCACGGATTAACATCGTGTACTTATGATAGAGGTGTTCCTAGGGTGAGTCGACAATAATTCGTACAGCGAGTTTCGTATGTAAAATAACAACGGCATTTTTTCAACGGATATTTCTTGTTAATTGTATCGATATATTCGATTATCTAACATGATGAGATTTACAGGGAATTCTGTAGAAATGTCTTAAAAGAAGGATATATGTACGACGTATTTCGCATTCATGCTCGAACCGTTTAGCAACAGGTTATATCATGTAATCAATTGGCACGTAAATCGATTAGAGAAAACGCATTGTGGCATTTAGACTCTTGCTTTTTGATTCAATATGCATTTTGCAAAATTTGAAAATTGAGCAATTGCGCTTTTTTGTCCTTTTTCATTAATATTTTTATTCAAGATAATTGTATTTTTTTCAATGAGACATGTAAAAGTTATATTTTATACTCGTAAGAATCGTTGATGGATATTGTAAGTTAATCAATTTTGCGGGCCAGCCGCGATAAAATTTTTTACGATCTAACTATAAATTTTTGGAAAAATTTAATTTTTAGTCTTTTTTATTCACGAAATAAATTTCCGTAGTTTCGGGAAAATTTCGTAATATTTTCTCAATTATATCTGCGAATTTTTGCACCGTTGATATTAAGTTCGAGCATAAATTAATATGTAAGGAACCGTCGTGTATATCCTAGCACACAAGATTTATAAATATTAACAGCCCAAGTTAGCACGTTACGTCATCCACGTCTACTCGCACGTAATCCACGTAAAGCACATAATTCATTCAACTGCATGTGCAATTTAATACATGGTATAAAATGCGCTCCGCTCATATTTATCATCGACCCTTCAGCAACACATGTCAAAATCTCTTTGATATTATTTTTCTCGCAAAGAATTCCAGATGAATATAAACAAATTAAATGATTATCACAATTAATAACTGCGTTTATTTGCACAAATAAAATTGTGACGTTAAAATTTGTCACATGTAATTTTCAGAATTTTTAGCAAAGGAAACGTAAATGTGACATTACGATTAAATTCTTCTCTTTTTTAGTTTTATTCAAATATAAATTTTATAATGAAACGTAAAGCATGACATTAGTACATTGAAATTCACAAACTCGTCATTGTGCTCATTTTCAGTTACCATAGCGATAAATAGCGGCGATTATAGGGTAGATCGAAGGGTCGAGGAGGCTTTTGAATGACGTGTTTTCTGACGTGCGTGCGATAGACACGGTGTACGACGGACAGCTGGCCCGCCGATGATGGAGGGATGGAATGTGCCAGTGTGTAGGATCAATATGCCCGAAATGGTACGATGGATTCATCATTTTAATGAGAGCGTTTGGAACAAGGGAAAGTTATTGTACACTCGTGCGTGTTCTATGGCTGCCGTTCTTCCCCATCACGGCGGAAAGTTGTTGGTTCAGTGTTGTGCGGTGAAGTCGACTTCTCTCGTTCACCGCGCCCCCACGACGACGTTACGTCGATCGACTTTAATGGTTCGACACATTGTAGTTTGCGGACCTGACGAGGGACCTGTTTGCCGGTTTTTTCCATATATAAACGCGCGAAACGTATCGACTTCTTCCGTCTCCGAGCGGAATTCCGCAATCGACCGTGTCCTTCGAATCTTGCCACGGTCGAGCGATCCCGAGTCGCGAGTCGCATTAAGGGTCGATTGCATCTATCGATTAACTCTACCAGGATGTTCGTTTCCTTGTATGTATTATACTTTTTACAATTGTTAGTACGGTTGAGTCTCATTGGAAAATAATTGATTGAACCACAATTAGTGACGGCTGATGTTGATAGAATCAGATCTGACAGTTAACTACATCGATAGATTCAATTAATTAACTTTGGTTAATAAAATTCTTTTTGTCCCTCTTTAAACTGCGATCCTCCAACTTTATAGGTTGTTATAGGTGGAGAGCGAGAATGTAGTTAACCGCGATTAAACGACGATAATCGATGTTGATGTAATCGGCCCCGAGACATCTCGAGAGAAATCGAATTGCAAGTACCAGGCACAGGATGAGATCTTATTGTTTGTTCTAGGAGTATCGATTCTCAGTGGAATCGAGTTCGCGCCGTTTTAAGTGTCACTTGTGATTGCTTGTTGACTCGAGTTGAGAGGTGGATATTCTATAGAACAAGTCGTTTTTCGATTCGAGGATATCCATTTTGTACAATCAAATCATAATTCATCCTTGTTATGCTCTTGTTACTTAAGACACTTATATTTCAAATTGATATTATATATATAATATATATATTTCAAAAATTTTTGATTGTTAAAAATATAGCAAAAAAACATATTATACTCTTGTACAAAATTTTATACAAGAAAATCTGAATTTTTTTTTGGTTTATCTGGCGCACTTTTTACAGATTTGCATGGCTCAGTGTAAAAGAGCGAATTATCTCATAAATATAAAAAGGTTCTAGATTTGAGTGCTGATTCATATAAGATTTGAAACCAGATGCCTGTCTTTCGCAATTCTTAAGCGAAATATTTCGGTGCGCGATTTCTCGCAAAGAAGTAGATACGTTTCGCAGGCAGCAACGTCGAGATGAAATATCGAGACGTTCCGCTTCGGTGATGAAGACAAACGTTACTTTGGACGTTTCGTGACGATATCATGCGATGCTCTCGCGTCGAAAAACTTCGCTGCTGGACATTCGCGTCGCAACAGCTATCGTCCTCTCGCCGACTTGTCTGATAGTGAGAGAAATTAATTTTAATTAATAGAAATGCGCACGCGACAAGATAAAAATTTTATTCAGATTATATAATTTATTAAAGTTTTAAGCAAACCTACTTTTAAATCAAATATATATCACCGATTTAAATGCGATATCAATAAAATATTAATTTTTTTTTATTCTGTATGATGGAATTACATCATGGATAAATAGTTAATCCTCATCTTATCTTACGTATATTAGAACAAATAAGAAATTACATCTGTTTTAATCTTGTTATAAAGTAATAAAATGAAATTCTACACAATGCCATAAATAACGCCTGTGAGTGTATTTACAAAATTTGTCATTACTTTCGAAGATTGCTCTCACTCTATTTACGATAAGAAATCCATCTAAGAACAAAATTAATTAAGGCGCGGCGGATAAGAATGAACTTGGAAAACAATCAATTTCTCTCATTATCCGATATAATCAAGGCGTTAATCGATTGGACGGTATCGAAAGAGTAGGACGGGGATCGTCGCGTGCAATTGCGAAGTTTCTCGGATATTTACAAGTCGAAGGATTTGAGCGGCACGAATGTAACGCTATCGGCGAATTTGATTATCGTCGACGAATCGTAAAGATAACGGGCATATCGGCATCAACTCGTCTGACGATATTTTTTTTGCCTCGATCGTGAAAATCCCCTTCGAAGGGATTCATGTTTTCTCTTCATTTAAAGGAAGATTCAATTGGTCCGCTCGTCGAAGCTCCGGAGTCCGCGTCGAGACCTTATATAATTCGATCAACGTAGCCGGTTAGCATCTATAAATACAAGATGCTAGACTGCCGTGGGGGCACGCGATTGTCAATGCCACTTCGCCTTTTGCGCGAATATATCCGCGCGCAAGTTTTGCGCGAAGCAGATTCCCAAAATCTGAAAATAGCAAGGACACTCCGTTCATTGAATAGTTACGAGGACTAGAAACAAAATTATTCTTAACACTTTCACAGAATATTCGAATGTTTTAAACATGTGTCGTTTTGTACATGATTTAATTTTCTAAAATAGAACGAAATATGTGTCTCTTGTCACATAGACGAGACACATCTCGGAAATATTTTATAGAGTATTCTTTTAAATTTTAGAATAAAAAAGATTGAAATGTTTCAATTATCTATTTTATTTCTGAAAATATGTATTATTTTCATGTTTCTGATAAAAAAAATTAACATAAATAAACATGAGTATTGAATCAAGTCTGTGAAAATGATAAATGAAATATCAATATATATATATAGCTACAGAAATTTGCATATAAAATATACATGAAAGAACCGATGCATTTTTCAATTGAAAGAAAGCTGCTCAATTTATATTTATTTACTCGCTATTACTTAGTAGTATATACTTGTGTATTTATTAGTCGTGCCCATATATATAGTTGATATACGTTATATATAATACATTCGTAAAATTTTAAATAATTAGATACATACACAATATATGAATTAGATAATATACATCATATTGAAACGAAATTAATAAAAATCTATCGTAATACAACGAACAATATCAACATGCTTGGGTATTTACTCGACACATACACAATAACGAGAATTTTGTGCCGTAAATAAGCAGTAATTTAAAATCCTTTAATGAAATTTCAGAAAGCTCAATATATTACGCTGATAAATGCACTTGCATCGCCTAGCTACGTATTACTATGTATCTCGCATCTACTTTACGTCTTCTCGCGTGTAACGCGCTATAGAACGAGATAGGTAACAGTCAACGTCGCAAGCGAGATAAAGTCTCACCTTATTTCCTCTAGGGCATGCAACGGCTCTAATAATGCTCCCGTAACAGGCCGCATCGGCGAATATATTACGAGAAACGTGCTAAAATCTGATTTTAACACTTTGAATCAATGATGACAATCTCTCGACCGACATAGAATATATCTGAATCGCAAATTGAAAATTAAGCAAGTTATAAGATTTAAGTTTTCCATTATAAGCGGAAATTTAAAAGAATCTCGCCTAACGAATATTCTGCAAAAGAGAGGCAAAGAGATGTGTGTTTAAATTTCAGAATAAAATTTTTCAAAAATTTTCGGCAAATATGAATTTTCATCTTGACGTCTAAGTGTTTTGCCAAAGTTTTATCATTGTTTATTCGTATCAAGCATAAAATAGATTCAAAGTGTTAATTATTCGCGAGGCGTGTCGATGGATTTCCATATGCTCGTTAAAAATTCACCGATGCGTATCGAAGGTCGGAGTTTGTATTTATACTGATGCATTTTACTGGCACGTACCTGAGCGAATGCCGTACCAACTACACCGCTGGCAATCGCGAGGAGATTACGCTCCATCCACTCTTCGCCGGCCTGTATGCAACCTTTTTCGTAAATCACTTTGGCAACCTCAAAGTTCTGAAAAAAGAAAGGAGAAACGGCTACTTGGCTTACCGCTTGCTGCCCCCCCGGTATGCTATTATTATAGTTGGTTAGTCCAGGACAATTCGATGGCGTTAGTTCCGTGAAGGTTTCCGTGGAGAAAGTGAAAGGATAACTTGGCCGTTCTTTATGTAACTCCAACGTTTTTACTGTTGATCGCGTCAATCGGTTGCTATTTTAATGCGCGCGTGTCGCAATCATTTGTCGCGATGCGTGTTTCGTCATTTATGCAAATTGCGATAATAATTGAGATTAGATATAAGCTAACGATCCGATTTATACGACGTAAATGCTCTTTACTTAAGAGCATACTCCATTTTTTATATTTTGAAATACTATATCCCATCTGTCTCTCTCTCTCTTTTTATACGATAAAAGAAGATTTATTTGATATAAATGAATTGTAACACTGATAAGTTATCACGCGAAAAATTACGATCGAATTACTGCAAGCGGATGCAAAAGCCACTTACGGGCCCGAGAGAGGATAAAATCTGTGGCAACGTTAACTCTCTCGGTCGCATCGCGCAAGAGCGAGAATCTGCGAGAACGTTGAAAAGGTCAGACCGTCCTCGCTTTTACATCCCGCCTGCTCGATCCCGGTCTCCTCTCCGTTAAGTGAAAACTCAATAAGGTACTTGGTCCGGCAGGCATTTCCTCTCCGTTTTCCACGATTCCATCGCGAGAACTATATCATACGGAGAAAAGTCTCGAGGGGCGAGCTTTACGAAGAATGGTTCGTACGTTACGAGAGTGACGCGCTTAAAGAAGCGACTCTCTCAGCCGCGGATATCGAACAATAAATTCCGCCGTTTAAATCTCCTAGCGAGTTTCCGGACGATAACTTCAATTTCCAGTCATATAAAGGTAGCAACCTAATTTATTGGAGCTTGGTGGACGGAGGTTGTATCGGAGGGGGCGTAGATCGAGCCGAGATCGTAAAACGTGGTTCCGGAGGAAGGAGGAGAGGAAGAGAAGAACGGAAGGAAGATTCCAACGGGAGCGAACGAGAGGGGAGGTTCCGTACGTGCTCGAGAAAATATATACGGGTACAGCGGCGGGAAAGGGGGGACGAGAAAAGGGATCTAAGTAACAAACCTACTCTGTTACGTCGTGCCTCGCGCGTTTACTCTCAAGAAACCGGGGAGTAACTACGCCAGGCTTTCAAGCTGCTACTTCATTTACACCTTATCCCTCTTCGCGACCAAACTTTTCCAACATTGCCGCCCCCCCCCTCCCTTCTCGTCTTTCGCTGATGCCGCGACGATATTGTACGACTCCCTCATTAGCGGAGCGTTAGATGCCCTAATTACATAAGAGTCTTCGCCCCGTCCTTTCGAACAACTCCGAGCGGGAACTGCTAATTTATTTCGTCTCGTCGCACGTGTCAAAGTGGTCGATGATGCGCCCGATGACAGTAATGGGAGAGATTGGGAAGATGAAAAGTAGATGACGAGGTCTGGTGTATACGAAACGTGACTTTGGTTAAGCGCAAAGTTAATTGAGACTCTCTGACAGGGCGTGAGGTAAACGAGCGACGAAGATTTTTGCGAGTGGCAAGGGAAGATTAATTCGACGATGAAAAAGACCTCTGAAGGGAGATAGAGAGAGAGAGAGAGAGAGAGAGAGTGAGAGAGAGAGAGAAACTCGTGCCCACTCGTTTTTATTCGTTTCTACCGTTCGTTGTGAGCTACTCGCTAAATTTCTCACTCCTTGCCGAAGTCCTCCTTCAAGCTTGGTTTTTTTTTTTTGTTTTTTTTTTTGGACAGACACGAGGGCGATGGCAGCCTCCCTATTTTAGCGTACTATAATCTGCCGTATTAGCATAGATAACATCGCAATTCTAGCACGGTACAATCACGTGCGCTAGCATAGATAAGCGCGTGATTATAGCGTAGCATAATCCCGGGCTCTAGCGTAGTAATATAATCTCGTGATTTTAGCGTAATATGATTCTGCGCCGACCGGCTCCGCGCGTACGTAATTCTGACGTTATATAATTGCACGCGAGCGACTTTACGATCGCGATGTACCTTGCGATAATTTTCCTCGAATCAACATAAGTCTAAGGACATTCTGTCTGTCCTAAACCTTTGATCCGTCAATTTATAATCAGCTATGAAATCTTCATTTCAAATGACAGAGTTTACATTGACTGGCGTGCAACTGCGACTTTTCTTCACTAAATTAATTTATCGCCCCATTGAATCATTCGTTAATTTCGACGCTACATATTGACAAACCAACGGCTAAGTTAATCGTAATAACAAATTTAATTATGAATTTCTCGATAATTTTCGATTAAACGTGTCAATTAATGTAATACAATATTAATGCGCGGCAGTTTACCGGCCGATACGCCAATATGCAATCTTGTTGCGACATAATTGCATGCGAACATCGTCAAAATAGTAATAAAACTCGTCGGCCGCGAAATTGAAATTTGAATAATCAGCATAGAATTAATATGGTTGGCTAATATAAGAGAAAGAGGAAGACAGAGAGAAAGAGAGAGAGAGAGAGAGAGGCTCACATTTATGATGTGCAAACTAGTTCTTCGGACATTTGTTATGCCCATTGGGAGGAGGGTAGTATAATAGTTCTGGCCGTCAAGATTATGCAGCGAGCTGGCAGTAATTTATCGTACTGATTATGAGACAAAAACTCGTATTATTGCATCGCGTGCCAGGTTCGTATAAACGCTTTTATAGAATAGTTGTTCGGTATACGCGCGCTTATGACTTACGCTCCTATCTTCATTAAAGAGTATAATGTGCCTAACTACGCGGAAAGTGACGTTTTGAGAAGAAAGGAATGAATGAAGAGTCTATCGCTTGAAATTATGCGGTATTTCTGCGACGCTATAAACAATAATACCGGAAAATTGCTAGAAAAACTACGCGAGAATTATAACATTTGCCTAACATAAAGGATATATATAATATAATGTCAGAACGTGTGTCACACACACATTATCGTTCTAGTGTATTATTAATATGAATTATTATAAATTTTTGCCGCAAGTATTTTGACAAATATTTCAATCGACTGTTTCATATATTCAATTTTTGCAAATCAAATCCACGCAGTGGATATATATACATATAACTATGTTTTTTATAGTTATGCGGAACACAAAATTTTATATGTTGGTTTCGCTTCGATGTTGTATTATATTATGTGTTTGTACACGTAACGTTTCTATTTGAAAGCGGGTATATACGTGTAACACTTACCGTATCGATCCTTCCGCAGTCGTTGCGTATCGATATAAAATACATCAACGAGAATATGACACGTCGTTATGAATATACTTACTTGCAATTTGACCCATATAACGACGAAATATATTTAAATGTATATACCAATAGCGACATCTTTAAATGACAATAAAAAGACGTTCATACGTCATAGAATAATACAACATAAGCAGAAGGAGAGAAAATGACAACAGTGTCAAATTTACACAGAATGTTCAGGAATCATTTGAATGTACTTTTCACGATAGATCCTTCAGTCGGTTTGAAATTGGACTTTTTTCAATATAGAGATATTGAGTTGCAAAACTGTATAATAATTGAAAGGACATTTGTAATTCTGAGACATTCTGTGCGCAGAGTTTTGTCACGTCTACATTTAACATACATGCGATCACGTTCGTAAATAGTGGCATCCCTACTAAAGGAATCGAGAAGCTGGGAAATTGCAACTTTCTCAAACTCGGCGCGCATATTTAGAGCTAATTGGCGTCGTAGTCGAAACTTGTGCCTCGCGTAAAATATCGTTTAATGGAATTAAAGTTTTAACAGTAAACCGCTTTGCATCGCGCGCGCGCGCGCTTTCGGTCGATCTCTCCCCGCCAAAGTTTATTTCTTTCGGTCTTTGCATCGTGGTGTAAAAGCGGATCGATTGACGACAAACTATAAGCGCACGCGGTCTGGCATATTCATACGTATGTACACTTTTAGAAAGGTAAGTAAGGCAACACACGATCGAAGATTTGATGGCGGAAATACGCGCTCTCGCAGATGTCACCGAGTGCAACGAACGATAGTTGGTACTTTCCTTTCCGTGACGACGATCGCGACTATCAATCTCCGCGTTCGCAAGCGCTTTATTGTCGGACGCGGTATTTCACTTCCCGCGAAACTTATATACGCGGTTTGTCTGAAAATCCACGTCGCTTCTTACGAGATACTTTATTTCTACGCCGTGGCGCAATTTCGTCGGAATAAAATAGAAACTTCCATTCACGGAAATAGAAATATTACTCGGATTTCTGTTTACGTAGATAACTATATCTGGAAAATGTATTACGGAATTGAAAGAGCAGCATTTTTCTAAATGTGCTTATTCTATTTTGAATTTAAAAAATATTATATTACATCTTCAAAAATATATTATATCTTTAAGCTTAATATTCAGCAAAAGCATTTGATATATAAATATCGGTATTTAAATTTTTGAATTATATTCTAAGCAGAAGAGATATTTCGCCGAATCGATTTCGTCGAGCGATCGATCGATTCGCAGTTTAATAGCTCGGTTAATCGATCGACGAGCAGAGAAAGTTCGGACTTCCCAGCTTGGTGGACGACAGTTTTCAGGGAAAGAATACCTGCAGAACCATGGTGCTGACGACGGTGCCAGCGACGGGTACGAGGTTCAATTCTAGCCACTCCTCGCCCGCTCTTAGGCAACCCCGCTCGAATATACTCCTCTCTCCCGTCTGCATTGGCCCGAGGGGGCAAATAAAAATAATGTAAAAAGTCGGCAGACACAGGATCTTTGTTTAATAGCTCAAAGACTCGAAATTAGATCGTCGTTGTGCACCGAAAACAAACATCGCCGCGCCCTCAACATCAAAGAGGAGAGTGAATATAAAAATGACTCGTTCGTTCCTCCTAATCGCGATTCCCGCACACAGATATATTTTTTATTTTACCCTGAGAATCTACAAAGCGCACGCCCCTAAGGGGAAGAGGAAACTTAAGAGGGTTTATCGACTGACGCGCGAGCATAATTTAGCGGTTTAAACCACAGGGGGAAAGTAAGAGAAATGTAATAAGGTATTCGTGATGTTCGCTGTTGCGTGAAGCGGTCTAGTGCAAGTGTATGTTGTAACGAGCAAAAGGGGTATTTGTGGTAGTGTGCACATATAACATTAGTTCTTTCCCGCGTAGTAAATTTTTGCGAAATCCACCCGTGGCAGTTTATTTTGTTCGCAATCTATTTTTATTTGTAAAATTGGACAAATTATAATATCTGTATGTGATTTCGGATTTAATTTTTATTAATTTATACGACACACACACACACACACACACACACACACACACACACACATATATATATATATATAGATATATGTTTAAAATGAATAACGGCGACGCTTTAATATACGGCCCGAAAAAAGCTCTTTATCGTTATTTATTTATTTGTGTTTTATCGATTTGTAACGCTTCGCGGCGCATTAACGATCGCCCGACAAAAAAATATAATTAAGCAATGGGGGTTTCTCGATGAAAGCGTAATTAGCGAGGGCGGGTTTCAAGAGCCATTACATCGGGGATGATATATCTACTCTTAAAATAGAAGACGGCATAGAAGTTCTTATTCCTCCTCCACACTTTCTCTCTTACCCTGGACTCGAGAATTTTCTCTCTAATTAAGTTCCACGGTTTCTTGACCTGAGTCGTTTTTTACCCGCGCTTGTGTAGACATTGTGTAATCCTGCGCGCGCGCGGCCTATGCAGAACTAACTACCCCTGCGAACTACCCTCCCTTATCTCAAATCTGGACTCGCGCGATAGAACGCAATTCCAAAGACAAATTATTCGGTGCCCCTTCGAGGCATGTTTCCCTTCCATGGTTTACCGTATCTTTCGCGAAATAACGCAAGTTTCGAATCGGAAACAAACCGAAACTAGAAACGACCGGAATACTAAGATGTCACTCAGAATGCTAGGATGTAATGTAGGTGTGAAGTTCTATGATTGTTAACGAAATAAATTAAAAAGTTCTATTATAGGATCTCTTACGATAAAAGATTTTTGACAAGATAAACTGAAAAAGTTAAAAAGAATACAAGAAAAAAAGAAACAAAAAATTGAACAAAAATGATAGATATGTAAAAAATAGCTATTATTGTCGCGTGAGTTGAGTAACATTTACAATCGCCAACTTTTTCTACATCTGGAATTTTTTCTGTTACTCGTTAGTTTTGCAATATGATGGAAGAAAGCAAAGGTTTTAATATAAAAAAAATTAATTCATATTAGAGCGATAAAAGTACTTACATAACTAGGCTTTCTAACATCATAGCCGCATTGTTTATTTTTAATAATTTCCTGAAACAAACAAGAAAATTGCTTGACTTTCAACAATTCGATTAGTATTTGATGAGAAAATATTTTTCAAAGCGGCAGAAAATTGCATATGCTAATTAGTGCATAAAGTTACATTAGGTTTTCGCTTGCAACAGCTAAAAGGCACGCCGCACGCTTCCCTCGAGCCGATGTCGCTCGACGAACAATTGAAATAATTGTTGCGGTCCCAATCCTTTGGGCCCTCGATGCCGCAACATTGCAACTGAAAATAATAAAAAAGACGATAAATTTTATAATATTATTTAAAAATATATTTTATATTTTTAAAACAATATAGAGATATAGAGACTTTTTAACTATAAACTTTTAAAATTTTATATTGAACTTTTACATTCTCATTGATCCATTATATTTATACAGAGTGCTAAAATTTGTTTTCTATACGTTTTCTATATATAATAGTCGGGTAGAAAATTCGCCACTTTTTTTTTAAACGTTTATACAGACGAGAATGTTATCTACATGAGGGCAAAGTTGAAGAACCGCGCTCAAAGCGCATCAAGGGGATATTTTGCATTATTGGCGGAGTTCGCGCAGTGCCTATATGCATTGCCGATATGATCAATCGTGATCGAATTTGCGATGAATACCACGGATGAAAATATGAATTTCAAACGCCGTCATAAATAATTCCGACTGCGCCGGGAATTGAGGAGCGGTGCAATATTAAATACGCGATTTATATAGAGATCCAGTCGCGCGCGATAAGAAAAGAGGAGAAACGAACCAGCGCGTATCGTCCAGTCGAAGTAATAAGAGTGCAAGAGGAAAAAGGAATCCCGTCGCAAGCAGCCGGGTATTAAGGGAATGACAAAAAGGCCAGAGGACGCGACGTGGGTCGGATTTGGTCGGTAACGCTCGGTAGTCCAAGTTTCGAGACCTTCATTAAACCTCAATATCTGTCTTTTTTAGAACGAGAGTCCGAGGCGTCTTATTCTTTTTCGGATACCCGTATATGTCGCCGTTGGTCAATCCGGTATTTTTTTTTTTTCACGCTAATTCTAGCAACCGCCAGATTAAGAAATAGCGGATATATACATATACACATTGTAAAAAAATATTACAAATTTATGCGAACAATAAGTATAAAATTATACAATAAATAATAGAGTTGTTATTATTTATTATGTAATTTTACACTTATTGTTCATGTAATTTTACATATTTATTTACAATGTATATATATCTTTCATAAAGCGCATCTGATAAAAATCTTTTTAAAGGCGACGTTAATTCTGCGTACAAATATGCCCTTTGAAATGGCGTATTTCGTATCAATGGTTATTTTTAAGAGATAATTTGTGTTCAATGATCTTGTCAGCATTAATTTGTTTGGGACAATTACTTATGCGATAGAATGAGTAATATGCTGCATTGTCAATTAATATTATTGTTATGCGTTCGATGCATTAATTAATTAACCGACATGCGCGCATGCCCCGCGAGTTTCTCATGTAATTAATTAGTCACGAAAATATTCGTATTTCTCGGTACGACAGAGTCGGGCGAATAAAGATATTTCGCGTTTAATTAGGGGTATAAAAATAAATTATCTAACGCGAAGTGAGTATTAGATTCTACACTGGAGTATCAAAAATAAACAATCGGGAAAATGCTGGGAATATTTGTTAATTAAATTATTAATAATGAGGGAATATGCGGGAACGCTTCTTTTTTTCGTCATTTCGCACGTGCTTTATGCAATTTGATTACAGGCGATTCGTTACCGTAAAATAAGAAATGGCTATCACGTAAAGCCGATATACATCAAGAGAAAGGGAGAAAGGGAGAAAGAAACAGCTCAGCGTTGAGGATGGAAAAGTAATATCAAGCAGATGCCAACTGCGTAATTTAGCTGATTTGTTTTTAGCATCGTTTTATTTCAATCATTCATGCGGCAACGTTTCAATTCGTTCCAATCAAATATTCATAATACGAAACACGAGTGCGCGGAATATTCATACGAGATGCGAATGCGCCGAGTATTGAGATACGGGATACGAGTTTCCGATTCTAGCTGGATTTAATTATTATGCGCTCGATACACTGTACAGACGATATCAAGGGACATCGACAACGGACCTAAATTCGCGTATCGATTTCTTGTCAGCTAAAATTTTGACATGTGCTTAAATCATGTAAAAATCAATACACACACACACAGACACAATAATATAGATACACGAATAATAACCTCAGGTTTTAATTTGTTTCGCTCGCGTCACATTATTGAACGATAGTGAAATTAACTTGGACTCTTTGATAACGACGCTCAAAATAAAATTAAATGATATTTCGCGAAGCGGAATCATACGGGAATGTGATATTCCTTGGAAAAATTGATTTCTGTAAGATAAAACTTCTGCTGGACGCGCTACAAGCGCGTATATACATACATGTCTTTCTTGATACGTCCTGTATATCGATCGTGTCGGCCGAAAGCGACCGAGTGAGCCAATTGATAAGTGGGATAGTGACGGTAAATACGCTCCTCGCCACCGCGCGAAGTCGAAGTACTAAGCATTTCATTAACCGCCTATAAATGGTACCGAGTGGATCTCGACGGGGCCAGACAATACAGTATACGGCAACTCGGCGGTATCTCGGTTTCCCCGGGGTTGATAGGATTGTCGAAATTGCGCGTCGGCATACCGGGCGTCGCTATTGAAATCTTGCGAACCACAATTGGTCGGCCGACCATCGATTAACGATTTCTATGATACTGCGCTCCCGATCGCTTCGGAAACGCGATTGTCATATTTACAAACTAGATGAGATCGTTTCTGAGTCTTTCAAAATATCGGTCTTTTATTGTCTTTATACACGTGCCACACTTGGATATTTGACGTTAAGCGCGGCTAATTCTACAGAATCTATCGAAACTATGATAGGATCCTCATGAACGTATTTCTTATAACTGTTAATTATATCAAATGATAAAGATACGCGCGATACAATATCTTTTTCTCTGGTCAATTTTGCTTTATCCAATTCGTGAAAAGCGACCCGCTCTATTAATCATCGATGGTATAAGAATATGTAGGCTGCGGGGATGGTTTGGCGATGATGGAATTGTGGTAGTAATTCGATGTTTGTGGACTCATCAGCGGTCTCTGAGGCCCACCGCTCGCGTGTTCCGACATTAACTGAATCAATTCACAAATATTTCCATATGTACCCGGGATAATTTATGCGTATATTATGCGACTCGCGATCGATCGATCGATCGATGGATCCAACGAATATATACATATATAAATATTTAAACGCGCATAAGCTTATTGCGGTATATTCCGTGACCGAAGTAATTTATCCTCGTCTCCCTCTCGCGGGATCCGTATTTTACTTAAACTGCGTTTCATTGAACGCACGCCACACGGATCTATCTATCAGTTGAATTAATTCTCGCGGTTCCGCCGGATACTTGGCCGAACGTAAATCACACCATTGCGTCCCGTGTCCGCTAAAGTCTCTGGCGGATCGGGATGAAATTTTCGCCAGTTCCGGTAACGTGTGCGACGCGCGAGAGCGGCGTGTGCGGTTTACCGTCGACTAGCTTCTACTGATAGGATTACCGAAATTGTGTGGCAGTGTATCCGGAGCGGTTCTATTGAAATCTCATAAACCACAATTGGATGACCAGATATCGATTGTCGAATCCCACTATTATATTACGCGCTATTTGGCGGCCGCGGAAGCTGATCTCGGGCAGATTTTCGTGCTGCGGCGAGGACTCGATAAAGTTCGCGCAAACTTGCATATCGGTAACTGTCTAACCGCACAATTTCCCGTGCTACTTATTGTTAGGAATGCGCGCGAACGCCCTCCCCCTTTACCCCGCTCCACCCTTCAACGCTTTACATACATACGTTTATTAAAGTCGCGGGTATACGGTTCGAGTTTGGTTATTTGGCGGGATATGTGAGGGAAACGCGCGTATGTCGGAATTATATTATTGAATTCACGGAAGAGGAAACGTGAGGTATGTGCCAATGTTGTTGAATAATTTTAATCAACTTGCCCAGTCTTCTTGGATCCAGTCGATGAGATTCTGCTGATCAGGATCCTCCCGATAGTGGATGATAAACGCTTGGAAGCCCCCTGTAGCTTGTGACTTTATCTAGCACAGTAAATAAAATATCACTCTAATTAATGCAAATCGTCTGCGCTTTATATTCTAACTATATTAATTATGTAATTCCTAGATCTATTTTAAACTAGGACGTCTATTCTAAACTATTTACATTAATAAAAAATTCATCTCCAACAGTTTGTCCGTCAAAAATAAAATAAAAGAGAGGAGAAATTTCGAAGAGATGGAATCGTATAAAAAAAGTTTCACAATCTCTCTGCGAAGTTTTATCACAATCGGTCATTTCTGGCTCGGGATATTCCCTCTTCCCGGCGATTGACGGCTATTACAGGCGCTGCAGGTGCAAATGCTCAAGGACGAAACTTAACTTTCCGCTGGTCGTAAAGCAAAACGACGCGCATTAAAACGCTAGCTGCGCGCGATGCGATAGCGCGCCGTTTGTTGGTTGTTCAAATTTTCCGCCGGCGGAAGAAAATTCTCGTCATGTTTAAAGGATACGGTTAATGGAATTAATTAGTAACTCGAGAACTTGCTGCATAATTATACGCAAACTTCGTCGGCGCACGGCCTAGACTCTGTTCTACGTGTTCGTCTTGCCTGCGAGCGAGCGCGCATGTATTTTCGGCGAACGAGATTGTGAAATACTTTTGAAATAATTCAACCATGTTTTCCTGTAATTATTGAATTAATAAACGCTGTAAATAGAAACGATTACGAATGAACGCGGCAAAATTGTTTCAAGGAACGCGTTCCCCTGTTTTGCAAATGTTCAATTCTATAGAAATCTTCTGAATTTTGGCAAAGCTAAATATTCCTCGAAATTTTATTCGCGCGGATAATTAAACGCGTACGGCACGCAAGATAAAAAAATGATAATGAATTATAGTTATAAAATGATGATATCTATAATATTTTATTTTAATATTAGCTCTCTAGATACATATTTCTATAAATATATAAATATGTGATATACATATACATATGTATGTAAAAGTTCAAAAAGTTAAAAAGTTTAATGTTCAGGATATGTGTTTCATGTTCTTGCTATTATTAATATTATTATAAACTCTTGATGTAATTCGATTTCAAACTAAATCAAACAAAGCATATGGACACTATATTTACCCAATCTTTGAAGATGAATCCTAAGACACCGGCAGTCATTTCCATTAGCAGTAGTAGCGCCAGAAATATCGCGTACTGCAACAGCAATGCGAAATTAATTATAAAAGAAAATCCTTGTAAGATCCCTGAAAAGAAGTTAATTAGTAGCCGTTATAGTGTCGTTTTCTGTTCGTCAAGACCATCTTTTCAACCGCCATACGATCGATCGTTATCTTTCGAGGAACTTTCATCCCCCCCAAAAAAGCTGAATCTCTTTGATTTTAAATACTTTTAAACGTTACATTTTTCAAAGAATCAACTTTTGTTTGATCATCCGGAGAACGGGCAAGGCAACGATAGACCGTAGATATCACGTAACGAACCGGAAAAATTCGATCAAACTTTAAAGTTTCAAAAGATATTGAACAATTAAAGTAATCCAGCGAGATCTTAATTGAATCCCACAGAGCGCTTACCGCAGCGAGGAGGCATGTGTTCTCCCGCAGCGCGCCGACGCATCCCGTGAAACCGATGATAAATGTCACTGTACCTGCAACAGAATAAATAATATCGGGTACTTCGTTACATAGCGCGCGAAATATGTAACGCGAGGAACACACGAACGCATTCATCAATGTATCGTATAATCATGAGTTATGAGCGTAAGTCCCATCGGTGAATTCATTCCCGCATCGACATTCCCGCACGCGAGATTCCAGGTGCATTTATAGATTGGTTGCAAAGTGTATGAAAAATCATGAAAATCCAAAGTCGGATACAAAAATATATAATGATGTCTATACAAAAGAAAATGCGATGATAAAATACAATCGAGAGATTTTTTTTATTTTATCTTATATTTTGTGTTTACTTAAATCTTACATTTTTAATTTTTGTTTCGCAAGATCGTATAGTGTTTTATTAATCGGCGAAATCGGGAAATTCGCAATATTCTGGAATTTCATCTGTGTAACTTTGATTTACGTAGCATACGTTGCGTATTTGCTACACGTGAATTTCGTAATTATACAAGTAATTATATTAAAATTTCTCCGCGAGACTCAGTTGAATTTCGTGAAAGTGCGTCATCAGCGCGTTGCGCGTGCGACGGTAATGCGGAATATTTATGAATTATCTGCTACTCGCGGACGAGCGTAATGAGCGCTGGTTCAATCTCGTGTACGCGTTAACAAAAAGTTGGCAAGAAAACGACGAATATTCAAAATTCATTGCTATCGCGATTAATCTGCGCGTATCTGAACGCAGCTTTTTTTAATTTTAAATTTAAATTTAATATCGTTGCAACGAAAGCACAAATATTAATTTTTCAATAGTGTAAAAAGTTTGCACCATAAAAATAAATTCGCAAGCGAAAATTTGAAAATTGAATTTTATTTATTTCTGTACAGGGTGTCCCACCAAAAGTAGCCATTCCCTTTTATCTTTTAAACCAAAAGAGATAGGTCGTAACAAATATATATTTAATTAAATGATTCAAACCGTACTCTGTTGTGAGCAGAATGGTTGCTTCTAAAAGCTATCTTTGTTAACGAACGGAGAGGTATGCATAATTTTTTTATAATAATGTGAATATTTTGATATGAAAAAAGTTGTAACGCTGTTTGAAACGATGTATGATATAATGTAAATATTTTATATATATTATACGAGTTTTATCAACTTGAAATATCGCGGGCCACGTCCACCTTTTCATTTTCGGTCCTTCTGATTGAATATTATGATCAAATGATAACATGGCGTATGTCAATCTCTAATGCACGAGTCAAAAGTTGCCCATAATGCAGGGTAGAAAGTGAAAAGACGTCACCTGCGATATTTCAAGTCAATAAAACTAGTATAATATGTAAAATATTTATATTATATCATACATTGTTATTTGTTTCAAACAGCGCTACAATTTTTATCATATCGAAATATCCATATTATTATATCTCTTTTAGTTTAAAAGATAAAAGGGGTGGCCACTTTTGGTGGAACACATTGTATATTAGATTGAAGAAAATAATAGTTGCTAACGCATTCATTAATTTTTGACAAAGATTTGGCGACGAATCTTAGTCAGATAATAATTTTTCATGCATAGGATTTATATGTATCAAATGTATATGAAACAATTTAAAGCAAATTTCATAGTACGTAACATTAATGGAAATGATCCCGGTGTGTTAAAAATTAATAGCTGCATCGAGGAAACGATTATAAGCCAAACTCGGCGGGCATGCTGTCGGACTTAATGAATTTTATCTATCATCGAAAGTTATAAGATTTTAGGATGTATTCCGGAAATGGAGGTAACTTTTAATCCGATGGTAAAGTGGGTGCGGTAGCGTAGAACGAAGCTTTCAAGTAACTGAATAATTAGTCCGGAGTTACTTTCGAAACTTTTGTTAAGCCTTGCTGCGAACTAGAAGAAAATGGCAACGACGGAACGCTTTGCGCCCGGACGAAAAACTCGACGAAGAAAAACGAAGACCGCGTAGGAACGTGTATCTACTTGAAAGTGCAGTTAGAAAATTTTTGTACAGGGCGCTGAAGCGCGCGCGCTATTACAAGATACTCTATACCTATGTCTCGAGTATACCTGAAAGCACAGAATCTATTTTAATTCACATGAATTTCTTTATCAATAATTAATGCCATTTTGTAGTCACGTTGGAAGATCGTCATTTCGCTTACGTTGCATCTCAGCTTGCATTCGCGTTAATATTTGGCGCATACTCAATGTTTCATAAAATGAACGATAGTAGGTGGTGAGCCAATAGTAGCCGAAAGGGCTTTGCCGTCTCTGCAATATCGCGACGTTGCTTTATGTCATATGCTAATAAAATTGCATGAAAGAGAGACACATCCGTTTGATCTCGTTTCGCGACACGTGAATATAACGGGGAATGTGGACCGACGATATTCGTTTCGATTTTAGATTTTTCCTGACTAAAAATATTCATAGAGAGAAAGAGAATATTTACTGAATAATCCAAGTTTCTCGTCTATCTTTTTCACCGATGAATTTTGTAAGCAATTTAAAATCGATTTTTCGTGGCAAAATTTTAATTGAACGTCATCTTTCTGCAATTATTTCATATTCAATTTGCGATACGAATATTTAGTTGAAAATGTTTGAAATCGTGTGAAATAATATCCGATCAGAATTGGGACATGCACAGACGAAAATCAAAATGTCGCACTTAATCGCGCGCGCGGGCTCGCATTTATTTAAGTACGGAAAATAAACATAATCCAGGATTCAGTGTTTCTCTCTGCATGAGTTGCAATTTATTCGAAACGTCACACGATTTTAGCGGGCAGCAATACTAATAACTTTAGTCGGATTTTCGAACGGATATTTCCCGCATCCAACGTATCAAGATTTATGAATGCCCGTCTCATTATTTATTTAATAGGATTTATGAACTTCGAAACATGAATTAATTTTGAGAAATGAATATTTATATTATCAGAAACTTTTGAAATATAATTTTTAATTTAAGAATAAGTTTATATTAAATGTGATAAAAAAGAGACGTCACTTTAAATGATTTGTAATATCTGCAATATGACGTAACAATTTCATTCTATGCATTAACGATTCAGATAAAAATGTAAGCTATTTTTAAACACCATTATAACTTTTAGGTGTAGCGTATCTAAGTCTAAATTGTTGTTATCTGGCAATCGTTACACTAAATTAAGCGCAAGCCAGAAGAGGTAGAGTTACTCATCAAAGTAAATGGAAGTAATTGGAGCATGGGATAATCGAAAGTCTAGCGCAGGTCGATAGAGCATGCTACGCAAGTACGAAATAATTAACAAGCGCGTCACTTTCCTAACAATAAGTATACGAGATATATCAATGAGAGGATGTTGATTATTTTGAAAACGCCGCTTGAACGGCATCTGATGTCACGCGCGTTTTTCCACATTAAATTTTATATATACAATTATATTGAGATTATCATTAAAAGGCAGTCTGTTGATATTTAATCAGCTGTAGCGAAGATTCGTATATCAAATACTGCTGCGCTGAACAAACTCTTAATGACTCAAAATCAAACAACGAGCAAGTTCGCTGTTCACTTTAACTCTGCGAATTAAATATTCCTGCAAACTGCATATATTCTCCTCTTTGAACTGTAAATATTAAACTAATAATACTTAGCTTGCTTTATAGCAATGGAATGAATAACGAAATTAATCGCGAGTACATTTATCTTGACGGAACAAAAACAGTATTTAAAAGGCGGCGAAGAATAAGTTCTCTCTAAGAATGCGTAACAGCAGCATCAGATATATCGTTATCGTTCTCTCTTTTTCTCTTTTTCTCTTTAATATAATATTGTTTGCGTTTAAAATTAAGCGTGAATACCTTTAAATGCTGTTGGAGTAAGTTGAGAAATAACTACTATTACCACTACCACTACTACTATACTATTACCACCGGATCCGATTAGAACGACAACGGAGCGACCACGGTCTGCCTCTTTTCGCCATCCCCTTCGAACTTCGAGGAGATTGTTTCCACGGTCTCAGGACAAACAAATAGATGAGCTCCCGCAAATCGGTCCCTCCTTTCTTACCCGAGCGGTCTCCCGCGTACAGTCCCGTTGTTCTTTTGGCGTACCGAATCACGTGCAAATTCGATTTGGGCCACACGACATCCCGCAGAGAACGTCGTACCTCGGATCGGCCGTCTCAGACTAGTTTGGATTCGGTCGCCGGGAACATTCCCGGAAGCATTCTCGCCATTACGGCTCGGTGAAACCGCGGGCGGCTGACCGCTCCGCGAGTGCGAGCGGCTTTCCGGAGCGTAGAATCTCCCGGAATCCACGTGTACACCCGGTGGTAATCCGACTTACAGCATCGCGCTCTGCGACGGTGGATGTGAAGCTCTCTGGGAACGTATCTCTCTCTCTCTTTCTCTGTCTCTCCCTTTCTCTCTCTTTCTCATTTTCTCTTTGGTCGGAAACGTGACGTCCGCAACCTCGATGCAACCCAGAGGACTGGTGAAATAAATCGGACGCAAACCTCGTCCTAATTTTATGTCCGATGCCTCGCTGCCGGCTCGTATCCAATTAAAACTTTGGCATCGTGCTAAAGAGACAGACAGAGAAAAAGAGAGAAAGAGAAGAAGGATAGGAATGGAATGGGGCGCGCAATCTATACCTATTTGCCAGCAAAATATCTGTATTAGTTGACGGAATATTACATTCACGTTGCGGAAACATAGAGAGAAAGAGAGAGAGAGAGTGAGAGAGAGCGCCTATGGTGGTTAATGAAAATGTATCGAGAATGGCGGTGCTTTTTGCACGCCCTTAACCCTTCGCATCCGCTGTACATTTTAATTAGCGTTCCACAAGCCCCCCAAAATCCTTGCAGATTTCTCTCTGTGTGATATTTATGATTTTTCCGAATCGATTTTCCTCGTTTAGCAAAGATTGAAATTTAATGCGTTTGAAAAGATTCAAAAATTGCCTCGACGTGGAAATAATCATCAGTGTTGCAACAGTTTTGTCAAGAAAAATCGATTCGAGTTTTCACGAGAAATCTATCCGCTTTGCACCAATCTTTATATATGCTAATGATCGCGAGCATCATGCAGTCGATTCAATACTGTGAAAATAGGTCGTCACGATCGTGACCACCGACAAAAACGACGGGCTCTTCCCCTCGCGCGTTGGCAAAACGCACCCTTTAACGACCGGTAATGTCGCGTGCACACAGCTTATCTTCCGCCTTCGCGGCGAGGAAATTGTGTCGTTACCTTTGGGACTCTGATTCATAGGGCCGCATTTGGCGCCGAGGCCGCAGGTATCATTTATACATTACCGTTATACGGCCCCGACATTATTTTTCATCCTGTCATTCCGCCTAATTTACTCGACGTTTTATGAGGGAGCGATTCGCTCTCTCAGGGAGAACCACCGATCATTTCTTTTGCTATCTCTCTCTTTTTCGTTTCCTCTTGATACACTTGCCGTGTTAATTGAAACAAGTTGATTATATTGCAAACACGTTCCATAGAATGCTTTGATAAATGTTTATCCGGTAAATAAAACTTTATTTTTGTGTTTTTAGAAAGAAAAAAGTTGACGACAATGAAATTGTTTGGAAACAATTGTAAATTATATTAATGCATAAAAATTGTAATTATATTTGCGTAATGCGAAAATTTCTTTCTTATATTATAATAAGCGCAGAACAAATTATATAATTGTCAGAGAACTAATCGTCAGAGAAAATGTAATTACTATTTTTTGATAATTTCCAATTATCTCTCGCTTTACCAAACTAGGTTGGGTGCCGTTTTTTCGGTCTTCATCTCTTATTAAAAAACGGAACGAACTTTCCGTTCAACCCAATAGTTCGTTCCATAGGTTTTCGAATAACCGTCAATAGTCGAAAAAACACTTTTCGGTACATTTGAAATTGATTATTAACTGGTTTATTTCAAAACCTATGGAGCAAACTACAAACATTTTGATCTCATTTGAAAGATAATTTAATTCCGAACAAAAAGTTTCCTATAAACATGGGTCGAAAAATGCTTCCTTAAAAAGTTAGCGCCCAAAAACCTCTGAAATCACGGTTATTTTTTACGTTTTTACAAATATCAGGGAAAGTATACGTCTCTTAACAAAAAGTACCGAAACAAAAGTTGTAGAGAATTAAATTATCCTTCAAATGAGATCAAAGTTATTGTAGTTTGTTCCATAGGTTTTGGAATAACCGTCAATAG